CCACGAATGAGGATACATTATAAAAAATAAAAACAGTTTAAACAAAATAATTTAAAAAAAATCACATTAAAACAATTTATATTTATTTTCTAACCTCGCTATAAAAAAAAAATATTTTCAATAAAAAGATTTTTCAACACTTGCCCCACAACAACTCACCTGCCATTTTTACCCTTGTAGTATGGCAATGCCGAGAATATAAAGAATGGCACCTTACGCGACGTCAACACCACACGCTCATCCTTGTACTGATGCTGTTTGTGCGCTTGTGCATTGAGTATACGTAAGTCCTTAGCATCGTTGATCTGCACACTCTTGCTGATGCTGCCGCGTCCAGTAAAGCTGCCCGGAAAACTGCCGGGCGTCAAACTCTCCGTACTGCTGTCGTCGGTTATGTGCGTGGAACCGTGTATAATGTTGCACGGTCGCTTGCCACCAGCACTGCCGCCGACGCCGATACGCATACCCGGTGCCGTATTGAGGCGGGCGCGACGCTCCGGCATGATATTGGCATCGTTGGCGCCATTGCTGAAAGTTCTGAAACAAAATAATTATTAATTAATATTATTATTATGATTATTATATGAGTTATCACCTCCACATAACCTATGAAAGTGCTTAAAATGTTTGTGTGCGTTTGCTTTTACTTTTTCTTAAAATTATTCATGATTTTCTAAATTTTCTAAAATAAAATAGTTTTTTTTTAAATAAATTAATTTTTTTTTAAATAAATTTTTCGTTTAATCCGCAAAATATGTCACACTTCTGATTTACGCAATTTCTGTCGCGAAATCATTTTCTTTGTGTGCTATGCACCAGTTTGCTAAGCATTAAGTTCTTATCTTGCCAACATTTTATCGAGCTTCTAATTAGAATTTATGTAAACAGAGAGCGAGAGGCAGAGAGAGAGCGCGAGAAACCGCATTACAGATAACAATTACGAATAAATGCCATATTTTCGCAAATTGTTTTAATAAGAATGCACACAAGTGTCAGTAAGCTGAATATATTTTATTGTTACCCGAAATTGTTGCCAAATATGTTAAAATTTCAATTGGAAACTAAAAAAAAATTTTTATAAAATTTGTTTAAAAATATTTTGTTTGAAATTTAAACTTGTTATAAATGTTTTCATGTTTTGTGATTTTTTGATAGAGTTGCCATACACTCGATTAGTAATTGTTATTATAATTATTAAAAGAGGAAATCAATGTAATAGAATTATTACAAAAATCGAAGAAAATATGGCATTCTTAAACATACTAACCCAGAAAATATTTATTTTTTATCATAAAAAGCAAAAATTTTATAAAACAAGGTTACCACATATGCTAAATTAAATTTAAGAGCGTTATAATTGAACGCATTGTTTCCTTTCGTTATGAAAAATGTTGTTTTAAAAAAATTTTACAAAAAATTATATTTTATTAAGCAAGCAGCAAAGTAATACACGAAATGCATTTCAGCAAAAAAAAAGAGCGACAGAGTAGCCAACTAATTTTATATGGATATTATGTTGGCAACTCTTTCATTTTTTTTTACAAAAATTTTAATTATTTTTTGAAGAAAACTATAAAATATTTAAGAAACGTAAATTTTAAGAAATATAGTGATAGAGATTTTTATAGATATTACAGGTGGAAACTCTATAATTTGTTTTTACAAAAATTTATATTTTGTAACCAAAGTAATAAAATATTTCATGGAACGTCATTTTTTGTAAAAAAACAAAAACAAAATAATAGAATTGCCAACTAATTTTGTATGGATTTAAAGTTGGCAACTTTTATTTATTTTTTACAAAAACTGATACTTTGTAAGGAAAGCATTAAAAAATATTTTATTTTATTTATTATTTTATTAAAATGTAGGCTTTTGTAAAAAAAAATATTCGAGTTGCCAACTAATTGCTTATGTCTATAAAGTTGGCAACTCTATTTTTTACAAATGTTATTAATTTGTAAGAAAAGCAATAAAATAATTAGCGAAACGTCAATTTTTTTTAAATGATACGAGTTGCCAACTAATTTTTAATGGATATAAAGGCAAGTCGTTCAGTTTTTATAAAATTTGAAATTATTTTTTAAAAGAAGCAATAAAGTATTTCACAAAATGTGTGAAAAAAGAGTGATAGTGATTTTTATAGATATTACAGTTGGCACCTCTATTACACATTTATTTTTTATAAATACTGATATTTTGTTAGGAAAGTAATAAAATAATTCACGAAACGTAAGTTTTTGTAAAAAAAGATAGACTTGCCAACTATTTTTTTATGGATATAAAAATTGATATTTTGTTAGGAAAGTAATCAAATAATTCACGAAACGTAATTTTTTGTAAAAAATATAGAGTTGCCAACTAGTTTTGTTTGGACATAGAGTCGACAGCTGTATTTTTTTTTTAACAAAAATTGATATTTTATAAGGAAATAATAAATGAAATAATTTACGAGACGTAATTATTTTAAAATAATTGGTAATGTTGCTAAATAATTTCTATAGTTATTTAATTGGCAACTTTATCAATTATTTTTTTTATAAAAATTTGTATTTCGTGATTTAATTCATTGATTTTTTAATATTTTCTTAAATATGCGTTTGGTAGCTGTATACATATTAAAATATGAGAGGGTTGCCACTTAAACAGCGCAGTAAAACAAAAATATTTTTTAATTCAAAATTTTTGTAAAATGTTGGTGTTTTTGCAAATATTAACAAGTTATCAGAAGAGCTTCAACTGAAACCAAATTCAAGTCAGTGTTGCCATACAACAATTTATAAAAAAATGTGTTGGCACATAAATACTAAAGAAAAACATTTTTGAATTCAAAACTTCTGTAAATTTTTGGTGTTTTTGCAAATATTAACAAGTTTTGAGATGATCTTCAATTGAAACCAGATTCAAACAGTGTTACCATACAACAATTTATAGAAAATAAATTTAACAAAAAATGTATATTAATTTTTAGAGCACAAGAAGTATTGCAAGCGCTTTAGCCGAATTTCAAATCTCATGTATTACGAAATTATTTCAGCGTGGCAGCCCTACACCATTACATTTAATGTTACATAAATTATATTTTTTCGAGCAGTTGGAAGTTTCGATATGATTTCAACAGAAAATACAGATTTTTATACAAAAGTATTAAAATAAAATTAATTTTTAATTATTTTTCAAAAACTTCTGATAAACGCATTACCGGAAAGTAACAGACAAAATAATTTTTGCTCAAAAGAATTTGGCTAAGTAAACAAAAGTAATTTATAGCATTTAATAGCACAAGAAGCATGCCAGACTTAATGAGCTTGTGAATTATGCACCAAAAGAAAAAGAAGAAGCATAAGAACACTTCGGAAGAACACATTCAAAAAGCAGGTCTTTTTGGTCAAGAAAACGTGCCAGGCGAACAAAGGTTCGACAGAAGCAGTAAGCAGCCACCGATCGAGCAACTACAAGCGATCCTCACGCTTCATAAGTAATACATATGTACATACATTCAAATATACACACGTACATACATATGCATTGTATGTGCTCCTTTTTTTGTTAGAATCGACTTCCGTCCTATATGGCGAGAACTTTTAATCTTACGCAACAATCTAGCGGGCAGCAGGCGCCCAAAACACAACAGCAACCAACGACAGTACTTCAAAAAATATGTGTACAATATCCATGAGTCTGTATGTGTGTTTGTTTGTGGGCGCAGAGTTTATGCATAATTTCATGCGTGTTTCTTAGCTTACTGAAACTCAAAATTTTTAAGTGTTGTTTTTTGTTAAACAGAAAAACCAAAAATATATCCACAACAAAAACATGGTCAAACTTTATTTTATGTTATGCAGCCTTAGTGTGTCTGTGTTCTTTTCAAAATGCTGGGCGTACAACCGAAAAGTTTTCATTTAGTGAACGTAGCACTGAAATAATAATGCCCCGCACAGAGTAGCGTAAAGCATGTTCAAGGGCCTTGAGATTTTTTATTTTTTTGTTTTTTTGATATTTTTGTTTTTTTTGATATGAGGAAGCGAAGGCAATAAGTGAAACAAACAAACAACAACAGCAAGTAATATAGTCTTAGCTGAACCCTTGGCCACCTTAAGTATACCTACATACATATGAATACACATTTGTATGTATGCTTATAAATAAATACTAGTATGCAGTAGTATGTATATTCAGCAAGAGATTGTAGATCATTAAAGAATCACTTGCATATAAAAAACAACAACAAATATAAGTAAATATAATTAAGTAATTTTGGTACGAGTATAAATACACTGAAAATAATATTATAATCAAATAAAAGTCTATAGAAAGAGCTTTATTGAACTTTTGATTGGTCAGTTTGTATGGCAGCTATATGTTATAGTGGACTGATTTGAAAAAAAATCTTCGGAGATTTTAGTTTTCCCATCAACAATAATTTTTGCCAAAATTCGTTATTATATCTTATCAAATAAAAAAGTTCTCCATACAAAGACTTGATTTTGATCGATCAGTTTGTATGGCAGCTATATGTTATTCCGATATCGACAATTGCAACAGGTAAGCAGCGTCTTGAAGAGAAGAGGGCCTGTGCAAAATTTCAGATCGCCAGCTCAAAAACTTAGAGGCTAGTAAGAGTATATAGAGACGAACAAGACCTTTTATTAAAAGTTTGATATTATTTTTAAACAAAATTTTGCAAAATTTTCTACAGTATACTTTAAGTTAAACATATTCTCGAAGAAATAACATGTGTTTTCCGAAAACGAACAAAATTTTAACTTCCTAACAATAATTTTTTTCAATGTACCATATAAGAGCGCACAATCAAACTTTGAAAAAATAAAAATAAAAGAACAATATTAAAAATATTATTAAACGACTTGTACAATTTTGTATGTTCATAACTCGAAACAAATTATTTATGCGCCATTAAATGTCATTTAATATGCAAATGGACGATTTGGACACTAATAAGAAAAACACCCCTTCCAAATCGATCGATTTTCGAACAGGCACACAGCAAGCCACAGGCAGTAAAAGTCAATACGAAAACATAATCGAACAACGACCAACGGAATGCACTAACAACAACAGCATGAGAAATAATAGTGGGGGCCAAAGCAATCAAGCGTTCGATCGATTGATTATGCGTACAGCTGGAGATCGCACTTCTTACGCCAACCAACTTTTCTCTGCTAGCAGCTGAAACGAACGCCCCAAAATTGGCCCCAACTGATGGTTGGAGAGCGCCGCGTACGTCGTTTTGGGTGATCGTGGCGTATGGTGAATTTGGCAGCCGTCGAGCGAACAGCCGCAACCAGGCACACAGAAGAGACGACAAGCAGACGCAGCACAAGCATCGCGCTTCCTACCATTGTCGGAAATTTTCATGATCGAATTGCATGTAGCGGCCCTTTACACAATCGGCGGCGCTGCTATTTTCGATTTACACACAAGTTGTTGTTGCAATTGTTGATTCTGACGCATTTTGCTGTTTCGTTTTCGAAAACACTTGCCATCTTGATCGCAAGCAAGTGTCTCACTGCCAG